GGAGAGTCACAGAAGTAAAATGAATGAAGAACTGAATGACGGACAGTGAATGAGGAAAGTGAATGAGGGACAATGAATGGAGAGTGAATGATGGAGTGAATGAAGGACAGTAAATAAAGGAGAGTGAATGAAAGAAATACCTCTCTCTTCACATTCAAATTCAACCAAAAGTGAAATAAAATTACATATTTATTCCATTTATTTTAGTTTTATATTGAAGAAAAAAGGGAATTAACTTGAATTTAATCTCACTCGCCGGGGAAAAGCGTCTCTCAGGAAGTCAGTTGAGAAAGACTTAGGTAGCTAGTACAGTAGTTGATAAAGAGAGGCGATGTTGAGATATTTGGTTATTCAATTGGGTCGTGGGGAGAAGGCGGAGTAGTTGTTAAAGTCTACGGTATTATCAACCCACGTTTAACTATCTAAGGTTTCAGTAATGATGATAACAGCAATAATAATAATAATAATAATAATAATAATAATAATAATAATAATAATAATAATAATAATAATAATAATAATAATAAATAATATAATAATAATAATAATAATAATAATAATAATAATAATAATAATAATAATAATAATAATAATCATAATCATAATAATCAATAATAATAATAATAATAATAATAATAAAATTAAATTAAAAACTCATATCAACTACTTAACTAACTAATGACACCTATAACCTCTGACCTCTTTTGAGCCACAATGGCGTCACAAATAACCAATTTAAATCGGCATTAATATTGGTTGAGTTTCACCGGGTCTCGCAGCCACTTGCTAATGACCTGAGTAACATTTTCCACACGTCTCTGTCACCTCACACTACCCGGGCCTGATGACCTTACTTGACCCCCGTGAATAATTCGTCCGGGTCAAAGGTCACGTGTGCTAAGGCGGAAGTAGTGTATCTACCTATCTATCTATCTATTTATCTCTATCTATCTCTAAATCTCTGTGCATTAGCCAGTTCTATTGTCAACGATCTCTCTCTCTCTCTATTAAAACATCAGGTAGAGATATTTATGCATATATACCTGCGTCTGCATCTTACATATCAAGTATACATATACACAATGAATATTTAGAGACCATGTATAAATCAAACAGGAGCGTCCATAACTCACTACCAGTATACATATATATCACGAATAAATAGTGGCCATGTATAAATCGGGCAGGAATATTATTGGAGCGAGTGGACAGCACGTAGACTGACTCGTGACTTGCCAAAAACGAACGAAAGAAATATTATTGGAACATTTGTGGAGTATTACACTTGTTTGGGGAATTCGATATTGTTTTGTTTTTAGTTAATATTACATATGATCTTTACTTAAGCAAGACGACGTTTGATTATTTTTAGTGAATTTTTTTAACACTTAGATCTCGGTTATTTTTTATTATCGTATTTATCGCTCTCCTCTTCTTACTGCTATTCCCGCTTGCCTCTCCTCTCTTCCTTTCATCATCTCCCTCATCCTCCTTCCCTTCCTACTACACCCCCTCTCCACTCCCTTGGCTCAGTTCAAGTTAGTTAAGAGGATATAGCTGTCGGCGTGTGTGTGTGTGTCTGCCTGATGTCTGTTTGTCTGTGTTTGTGTGTCTGTCTGTTTGTGTGAGTCTCTGTTTGTGTATATCTGTGTTGATGTAGATATGTCTGTCTGTCTGTGTGTGTGTGTGTGTGTGTGTGTGTGTGTGTGTGTGTGTGTGTGTGTGTGTGTGTGTGTTGGGGATCGTAGCATGTAAAACCAAACTCCTTCATATTGCGGCGTCTGACTCAACTGGTTTATGTTGACGCGGAGTTACCTGATCATTCCGCACTGATGATTCCCGGTAGTTACGACGAATCTTGTTGTGAGGTCATGGAGGGGTGGGGGTGGTGGGAGGGGGGAGAGGGTGAGGGGTGAGTGGTTTGTGGGGGTGATAGGATGTATGAAGGGAAAGAGTGTATGGAGGGGGAGGAAAGCATGTAGAGGAGGGTGATGGGGGAAGGGTATGTGTGTTTTAGGTGATAGGTATGTAAGGGTCCTGTTGAAACACACTGTTACTTTCTGGTGAAGATGTTGGAGCTCGGTCGTGTTTACAATGACGTCACACTGTTTACGTAAGAATGTCGTCACAGTGTTTACATTTTACTCGGTTAGCAGCACATCTAAACACAAAAGGATATATACACCACTTAACATTATTGCTCTGTTTACATAGGCATTTTTCTTTCGCTGGTTTAGCATAATTGCTGCCCAGACTACAGGAAAATGGCGTTACACAGAGCAATTACGTCATCTCGCAGTGTTCAATATATTTGACGCGTGTTACTGTACATTTGACGCGTGTTACTGTACATTTGACGCGTGTTACTGTACATTTGACGCGTGTTACTGCATTTGACGCGTGTTACTGTACATTTGACGCGTGTTACTGTATTTTGACTCGTGTTACTGTACATTTGACCCGTGTTACTGCATATTTGACGCGTGTTACTGTATATTTGACGCGTGTTACTGTACATTTGACGCGTGTTACTGTACATTACTCGTGTTACTGTACATTTGACGTGTTACTGTACATTTGACGCGTGTTACTGTATATTTGACTCGTGTTACTGTACATTTGACGCGTGTTACTGTATATTTGACTCGTGTTACTGTACATTTGACGCGTGTTACGTATATTTGACTCGTGTTACTGTACATTTGACCGTGTTACTGTATATTTGACGCGTGTTACTGTACATTTGACGCGTGTTACTGTATATTTGACTCGTGTTACTGTATATTTGACTCGTGTTACTGTACATTTGACTCGTGTTACTGTACATTTGACGTGTTACTGTATATTTGACTCGTGTTACTGTACATTTGACGCGTGTTACTGTATATTTGACGCGTGTTACTGTATATTTGACGCGTGTTACTGTATATTTGACTCGTGTTACTGTATATTTGACGCGTGTTACTGTACATTTGACTCGTGTTACTGTACATTTGACGCGTGTGTTACTGTATATTTGACTCGTGTTACTGTATATTTGACCCGTGTTACTGTACATTTGACTCGTGTTACTGTACATTTGACTCGTGTTACTGTACATTTGACTCGTGTTACTGTAAATTTGACCGTGTACTGTACATTTGACGCGTGTTACTGTATATTTGACTCGTGTTACTGTATATTTGACCCGTGTTACTGTACATTTGATGCGTGTTACTGTACATTTGACTCGTGTTACTGTACATTTTGACTCGTGTTACTGTACATTTGACTCGTGTTACTGCATATTTGACGCGTGTTACTGTACATTTGACGCGTGTTACTGTACATTTGACGCGTGTTACTGTACATTTGACGCGTGTTACTGTACATTTGACGCGTGTTACTGTACATTTGACGCGTGTTACTGTATATTTGACTCGTGTTACTGTATATTAGTCTTATAGAGTGTCGTTTTATGTGGACCATCATTACAAACACCGGTACACATTCTCACGTTTATAACAGTACTAACAAGTATTACAGTAGTTCCAGTAATCTCAATCACCAATTACAATTCAGTTTAAAGTTTTACCGTATAGGGCAAAGTTTACCAGTCACCCAACTGACACTCTATGAAACTTTAATGAAACTGTAGCTCCTCAAATTATGTATTTTCCTAACTGTATAAAACTCACTGTAACACCGTCCTCCGTCTCTGTGTTAAGCTGTCAGTGAGATATATAGAGCATGAACCAGGCAACAAGGGAGGGGAGGGGAGGTGAGGGGAAGGGGTAGAGGAGGGTAGGGGAGGTGGGTGAGGTTAGGGGAAGGGAGGGAAGGAGTGGTAAGGGGACGGGTAGGCGAAGGGAAGGGAAGGAGGAGGGGAAGGGAAGGGAAGGAGGAAAGGGAGGGAAGACTACATATGTTACCTTGGCAGTATTTCACCTTTTTGACTGCCGCTCCAGACCCATTCCTCAGGGGTAACTTACGGAGGAAAATGCAGCCAATCTTTATACCTGTGGGTTGTATATGGGCAGGTGTGGGTCGTCATTTATGCAGATTTAAAATTTTACAGGTCCTGGATTTATTTCGAGATTCCAGATTTTACAGTTTCCGGACTTATTAACAGCGATACCGGATTTTTTAGAGGTATTGGACTTATTTATGTAGATTCTGAACTTGAAGATACCGGACTTATTTACAGATACCGGACTTATTTCATGAGTGATAAACAAAGAGAGAGTTTATGTATATGTGTGTTTGTTTGTGTGTATGTTTGAATGGTTTTGTGTGTGTGTGTGTGTGTGTGTGTGTGTGTGTGTGTGTGTGTGTGTGTCCATGGGGTGAGCAGACATATAGCTGAAACTAACACCACACCCCCCCACACACACACACACAACCCTTGCTCACACACTCTACCCCACACCCCACCTCACCCCACACCACTCCTCATACACATCCCACACCCCACACCCACAAACCCCAACACTCTTACCTCACCTCCACTCCCATCACTCTCTCCACTTACTCCCCCACTCTAATTCTCACCTCACTTACCCCCACTCCCACTCACTTCACTCCCACTCACTTTCATTTCTACTCACTCTCATTTTCCATCACTTACTTTCCATTCTTCACCTCCACACACCAGCTTCAATTTGCTTTACACCAGAAGAAAAGTGATCGTATTCGATGGCCTTCAGACGAGTGTTTAATACCTGACCAACTTACGTGAGCCAAGTTTAATTGTACTTGGCTGGTGGAGAGAGAGGATTAGGTATTAAGGTCACTTACAGGGGTCACTGAGGGTCACTTCCAGGGGTCACGAAGGGTACCAGCGAGCGTGAGGGAGTGCCAGAGGTATGTGGGTATGGTTTTTTTTGTTTGTGTGTGTGTGTGTGTGTGTGTGTGTGTGTGTGTGTGTGTGTGTGTGTGTGTGTGTGTGTGTGTGTGTGTGTGTGTGTCTAATAGCCTCTAACCACCCTAACAAGCTTCTCTCTCTCTCTCTCTCTCCCCAGGCTGGACTTACGAGAGGGCGGTGACCAGAAGGAGTATGTTAACCCAGGCGTGGAAGGTCGGGTCAGGTCAGATGTCACGGGCTCCCACCTGACCTTTGACCCCCTGGAAGGTCACGACTCAGGCAGGTATAGGTGCCGGGTCGACTTCGAGGTGTCACCGACCTTGTTCGCCCTGGTCAACCTCACAGTGTACGGTGAGTAGAGGTCTTGACCTAACCTAACCTAACTTAATTTAACCTAAATTTTCAATGTCCGGATCCGGGTTCAGTTCCTGGACCGGATCCGGGTTTGTTATGTCCTCCCTTCCTCCCATCAACGTCTTTTCTCTTATTCCTTTTATATATTCACTGTTTCATTCACCTTTGTGTTTTATTCCCTAATTTTATCTTATTTATGTTCTTTGTATTCTTCTAAGTCCCTTGTTGTTCCTCTTTTTCGCTCTCTTTCTTATTCTGTCTTTATCCTCTCCCTTCCTTCCCCCTTCCTTGTTCTCCTATTATTCATTTTTAACCCATTTGTGTTTTCCCTCTCTTCACACACACACACACACACACACACACACACACACACACACACACACACACACACACACACCATCCAATTAATATTTCCCTACACCACTACTATACATAATGACTATATATATTATAATAATTCATGCTGCCGTACACTATTATGTATATATATAATGTATGTTTTTTTTTCACAGCTGGACGATTATATTACGTAATTAAATGTTTGTCTGCAATCTGGAGGGAAATATGATTTGTTTATAATACCAGATGAACGATATGTAAACAAAGACTCACCGCCCGGGGACTTGATACGTGTGAAATTTTACATCTGTGCGATTCACTTTTGTTTTTGATTGTTATATGATTATTGTGTTTATATTTCCTCCTTGTTCTCATATATTCATTGTTATGCTTATTGTCTGTGATTTACTTATTTACATAGAAAATAATGAAATATATTATGGAAAGTATAGAATTGAGAATGTTGATAGAGAGCGCCTAATAGCATCGACATTGTGGTCTTGATTCGGCTGGACTGTTATAAATATTGGAAGTTTTTATGAGTAATTACGTATGGTTTATTGTTTTGTTGAAATATATAGTTAGATATAAACATATGGATCAGATTTAAATGTTTCTCTATTCTGAAAGCAGAGATCAAAAGTGGGTTGAGTTAATACAAAGAGTTAAAACCCATAAGACAACACACAACAACACGACCATGATAGCCATTCTAGCCTCGTGTTTACTAATTACACAGACATAAACGAACTTATGACCCCTTACCAACACACAACAGCCATTATAAATCCCTAATAATTGTCAACGACCACAAACAACCATCCCAAAACTCCATTACAAGTGTGTGTCACCTCGTAAACCCGCGCCACCACAATTTCACTCCGCCTTAAGTTCTCAGCCCAGTAAGTTTAGAACACTCGGGGAGTTTAGGTGTGACATTAACTCCACAACTTCATGGGTGTTTGGTCTGTTTGTTATTTTTTTAAATCTCATTTGTGTGAATGTTTGCTGTGTCGAGAACTCAAATAATGGCAGGTGTTTAGTGTGTTGTAACCCTACTATAAGAGATTTGCTGTGTTGTAAGCTCACACTATAATAGAAGTTTGTAGTGTCCCAATTTCACGGAACAATAGAGGTTTATTGTGTCCTAACCTCACACCACAATAGAGGTTTACTGTGTCCTAACCTCACACCACAATAGAGGTTTATTGTGTCCTAACCTCACACCACAATAGAGGTTTACTGTGTCCTAACCTCACACCACAATAGAGGTTTATTGTGTCCTAACCTCACACCACAATAGAGGTTTGCTGTGTCCTAACCTCACACCACAATAGAGGCTTACTGTGCCCTAACACCACAGGCCAGTTGAGTCAGAGGAGCAGGGTGTTAGGTGGAGGGACGTGTGAGGGGTCACCTTCAATGTTTCTCTCCCTCAAGGTAAAACTTGAAGGAGTAGAGAGATGGTCCAGGCTTAAATAATTTCTATCACCTTGTGTGTCTGTCGATGGTGGAGGCTGTGGTGAAGGTGATGGTGAGGGTGGTGAAGATAATGGTGAGGGGTGTGGTGATGATGGTGAGGGTGTTGGTGATGAGGGTCGTATGTATGTATGTGTCTTGCCGTATGTCTTGTGTCGTACAGTGTCGTGTCGTGAGTCGTTTGTGTCTTGTGTCGTATGGAGCCATATCGTGTGTCTCTCCGTACCGTGTTGTGTCGTGTTGTGTCGTATTGTACCGTGTCGTATCGTACCGTGTCGTGTCGTGTCGTGTCGTGTCGTGTCGTGTCGTGTCGTGTCGTGTCGTATCGTGTCGCCTCCAAATGGTTAAGTAACTTTTGTGTATCTGCCGACTACTTGCCTCCATTTTTTTTGTGCTGGTGTGACATTTTTTCCCCACCTTGCGTGACTAAGTGAGAGGTAAGCATCCATGTGTCTCATGCTGGGAAAAATATAAACAGGTTATTCTTAGATCGAGTTGGAGTGTCTTGGTTAAGGTCAGTCAGTCAGTCAGTCAGGCAGTCAGTCAGGCAATTAGTCAGTCAGTTAGTCAATCAGTCAGTCAGTTAGTCAGTCAGTCAGTTAATCAGTAAGTCAATTAGTCACTCAATCAGTCAGTCAGTCAATCGGCCAATCAGACAGTCACTCACTCAATCAATCAGTCAGTCAGTCAATCAATCAGGCAGTCAGTCACTCAATCAATCAGTCAGTCAGTCAATCAATCAGTCAGGATAGGCAGACATAGAGCTGGGGGACTCGTCTGAATATTAATAGTCAAAGGTTCTTGTCAGTGTCCAGTGACGAACACCGGAAACTCTGCCATGACTTAGTGAGGAGGTGGTGGATGGGGGTGGTGGGGGGTGAGGGGGTAGTGGGAGTAGTGAGGGGCGATGGGGTGATGATGGTGAGGGAGGTGAGGGGTGAGGGGCGGCGGTAGGTGGGGAAGGTTAGGGGGCGTGTTAGTAGGTAGGGGGAGGTGAAGGAGAAAGACGGTGGTGAGTGTGTTGCCAGGTGAGGAAGAAGAAGAAGACGTGACTCGCGACGCTGGCAGGTGACTTGTGAGGATTTGCTGAGAGAGTTGAAGGAGGAGCTGTTACACCCTGAGGACGAGTGGTGTGGTCGTCATGCCTCGGGTAACATGATAGGATAGAGGTAAGGGGAAAATATAACCTGGTGGTCTTAAGGTGTGGCCTGCATTTGGGTCAAGTATTAGCTCTTCCTTCAAGTGTTTTCTGGTTGAGTTTTGGGTCGAGTTTTAGTAATTCCTCCTGAGAGTTTACCCAGGTTGTGTCGTGGATTTGGATCGCGTATAAGGTACATTTCCAGGTTGTGTTTTGTTCATGTTTTTTTTATTTTGCTATTTGAATCCCCTCTGTGTGTGTGTGTGTGTGTGTGTGTGTGTGTGTGTGTGTGTGTGTGTGTGTGTGTGTGTGTGTAGGTCAAAGGTCACCTCCCTCCCACGTGTGACCCTGCTTATGACAGAATCGATGCCAAGATGAGAAATAGAACTCATTTTACAATAGATATTACATCTCACATTTCCTTCCTAGACTTACGATACAGTGATGACCTTTGACCTCAGATAAAGGTCATCGATCAAGGTCAAAGTTCAGGAGAGGTAACACGTTCATACTTTACACACATTAGTCTACAAGCTTCAAGGAATAAACTAGTAATTATAAATACAGTGAAAATACTCAAATTTACCAACATGAATCAATTTGTTATCAGATAAGATCCTCGACGCCTTAGGGGATCGAACCCGTGATCTGCCTCGCCTCAAACGACTTATTACCCATTATAACACCCTCACACCTCCTCTCACCCCCTCACCCCTCCTCTCACCCCCTCCTCTCACCCCCCCCTCACCCCCAACACACCACTTGTCCGGACATGTTCAACGTTTGTACATGCTGCCTGACAACACCGGATGAATAATGACCTTGTTTGGTGGGATGATCTTGTTTAAAGAGTATTGTCTATCTGTGTGTCTGTCTGTGTCTGTCTGTCTGTGTCTGTCTGTCTGTCTGTGTGTCTGTCTGTCTGTAAATGAGTGTATGTATTTAATATGTTTAATATGTTGGTATAATTTCAACAGTTATGTACAGAATTGAGTCCACAGTAATGTACGTATGTTGATAATGGTTGGTGAGGTGTTGGGGCTTATACTGTGAGTGATGGAGAGGTGTGTTGGACTTACCGAGAGCCGGGACTTGCTTCTGGGGGGGAGGGTGACTTGGGTAAGACTGAAAGCCATTTAAAGGGTATATGCCCTAATAATAATAATAATAATAATAATAATAATAATAATAATAATAATAATAATAATAATTCACCATAGTAGCCATCGAGCCATAATAATTTAGATATACCTTAATTAATGAAAAATCCTCACCTTACACTCTGCATATACAGGGGCTACACATATACAGGGGCTACACATATAAAGGAAACCAGACTACAATATTTTAGAGGGTTCGTAGTGCACCAGAATGTATACCGTGAGCTGTGGGTTATATTGACTAGTGTATTGAGTATATTTATCCCTGTGATCGGTCAAGTGGGTGGCGGGTCTTAACCGGGATACCTGCAGGATGACGGCTTCTGACGTCACCCCTAACACACCACGCTGCCTAAAACAAATATACGATTCTCTGTTTCTCTTTTAGTATAGTAGGCAATAATAAGGGGATTATATCTCTCTATATAGCCTGAAAAATATAGGGATTTTATATAATTCTCGTATATCAACTTAAGAAATACAATGTCACTAACTAAAATGTATAAATTCTATCTTTCCCTCCTGTACGCGGCGGCACAGTTGGAAATAATCTCCCTGTTCCATTTATATTGTATTATTATTCCCTCTATATATAAAAAATACAAAAAATCATTATGCTTTGATATCATATTCAAAATAAAGCTGTAATCAAGGTTTTAAATATATATATAACGTAACGTATATACTGCACAAGCCTTGGATTTGCAATAGGCTCGGAGCTCTGAGGTGGGTGGAGCTTAATGACGTCACTAGGAAAACAAGAATGGGATTAGCGTACCGAGTATTTTCCTCTCTCTCTCTCTCTCTCTCTCTCTGGTGAAGACAATGAGATGACGTGAGCTCAGAAAGATTGTATTGGTTTGACTGTGGTTTTTATATGT